GGTTATTGACATAAAAATTTTTAATTCTTATATTACAGAGGGTAATCGTTAATCAAATTATTAGGTTTACCTCGGAATTATTACTTACTTGACATCTGAAGAAGAAAAAAATATTGCTATATTTTAAATAATGTATAAAAAGGATATTAAACTTTTATTTTTTATAAATTAATTTAATTTTAATAGTACTTTTGTCATCTAATCACAACATTTAGATCACGCACTTCATGATATGTTCAATAAACTGTTTTATATCAATAATAATACGTTCGTTTTATACGAATAATAATAGAGATTTCTTTTCCTCGAAGATAAGTTTCGTTAACATGTAAATAATGTATCTTTTAAATCACTTGGTCCAATTTAGAACTATTTATTTTTTCCTACGAATTTTCATGCGGTCCAATTATGCTATGCTTAATTTACTATGCTGCAGTGCCGCGCAGTTCTCCTTATTTGAATTAAACTTGAATACATAAGGTTAAGTGAAATTTCAAGGAAGTTCGTTCTCGCGAAGTTTTTAATATGTCTCGTATAATAGATCAGAGTTATGAATATTTTTCTTTTTTACGTTCCTGCCGCGACATTACGGTCGACGATAAATTGTAACAAACTGCCTTTATGGAAATGGCATGACATATCGCGCAAGGTTCGGGAAAGGTAAAAGGACGCAAAGTGGTGGGTGTTAGAACAGGTAGATGAACTACAGGCGAAGGCAATCATCGACAAGGGCTGTAGAGGGTTCGCATCAATAAGTACTGACATTTACGCACCTTCGTCTATCGATCCGACAAGAACCTTTCTGGGAAAAAGAAACAGCTGTGTCTATACTAGTACAAGAAACTTCGAGGTGCTCGTGTGGCACGATAAATGCTCTAATAATAGAAGACAATAACTTCGTAACTGTGATTCGAGAACGAAAAAAAAAAGTATTGGAGCTAATCCTAAAAGAGTCACTATCGAGTGCGATTCAAACTATTCAAAGTTTTCAGGTTATATCACTTGTCGCTGATTTTTCTCGGCGAAACAGCCTTATTAGGGACGTAAAACGTAGATATAGTATGAACGTTAGTTTTAGTATTCTTCACACACATTCTTTCAAAGGAGATTAAAATTAAAGTTTAACGACGAAGATAATAAAGTTAACAAATGAAAAGTAATCCCCAATCAGGCCAACGGCCACGGGCGTGGTTACGTCAGCCCGCTGTTGTACAAGATACGATTCTAGTTCCCGTTTTTCCTTGGTTTCTGATAATAATAAGGAGACTTCATAAATATTAAATTGTTATTTTATTTACACTTTCTTGAAAAGCGTGGGTCTACCGTGTAATTTCGTTCATAAAGTATCATGAAGAATGCGATAAATCACTTCGAGAACGATCTACATATTTATGTTTTAGCCTCTGGCGAGTGAATTTTAGAGATGATCTCGAAGGGGTGTCTCAGATATTTTTCCAGGGTTGGTGTTTCGTACAGGAAAATGTTTTGGGTTGTTCGAAGAGGGACGATGAAGTGGATTCGAGAGCGATATGCGCGAACGTGTTTGCGTACGAGGAAAGCCAAGGGTCGGTTGGTAATTTGTCGGACTGGTCAGTAGAAGAGTCTCGCATAGAGCAGCCAGATAGCTCGTGTCGCGGGCTGTGGATGTGTGGAACGGTATCGATCCGGGCGTTAAATATTTAATCGTAGGAAGAAAGTTCAATTCACGGACGAGGACGGTTGTCTTTCGAAGACAGGCCGAACGAACGAAAACGAATGCGACATGAGAACAGGGTAGGCACGCAACAATTTCTCGTCGGCCCGGTATTTGCCATGACTGGGTTGACTTTCATTATTTAGAGCGGCGGGGAAAAATGAGGATCGTCGACACGTCATTCCTGCCACATATCGATCGCAATTTACCAGACAACTTACTCATACATGTCAAAGTTCTTTGTCCGCCACTCGTTTGAAATTCTCCGAATGACTTACAGATTTCATATCATTTCTCGTTTACGCAATGTTTCACGTGTTCTGAATTATATTAGTGTTCTGTTGGGGAATATTGTTATAAAAAGTTTTCCAAAGGATGCTTTACGATTTTGGTTTTTAATAATGGAAATGAAATATATCCGATTTTATTTATCTTAAGGGAAAGTAAAAGTAAAATTCTAAAATCTTTGTTGAAAAACCGTTTATACATGTTATTATTATTATTAGTATATATGTAGTATAAAATACATTATCTAAATACGTATAGAGCTATAATATGTATAATAACCGATATACCTTAATGTTAGAATAATAAGTAAGTGTTTCTTCTGTATTTTCTCTTTGTTAAATGATAAGGACTACAATTTGTGAATGTTCGTGTAAAAGATATGCTCTTGTTGTATCTGAAATTAATTTTCTGTAAATTGTATAAAAAATCCTACAGAGGACCTCCAATTTAAGCTGAAACTTTGCGACCAAAGAATTAGTATGGTATTGCAGAGGAATGCAATTGCTTTCAGGCCAATTGCAGAAGATTGTATGATCATTTAATATAACTAAATACATTACATTAAAGTAAAATATATCACCAGGATTAGAAATACAAAAATTCTTTCATATTCTGTTCATATATTCTACACTAACCGAACAGAATAATCCAAATCAATTGAATATCACAAGAAGCATGAATAATTGTTTAACTTATAATTAGAATTTTAACTTTTAAGTATAAAGTTACACCTAACTAAATTAGCACGGATAGAATGATGTTAAAGAGAGATTGTTGAAAATACCCAGGACAAAGCCAAAAACCATTACAAATGAATTTGGGTCGATTATTCGAGTATTCGTACATAAAGCATTCTATTCATAAATAGAAACGAGGTGATAGAGCGTTTCTACACCGGCTTATCCGAGACTTCATCCATGCGATCTCCGGTAGTTGAATCTTTGAGCACGGAAATCATTGTCGAAATACAACGATTGCTTTTTAATGAACTACTCCTTTTCGCGTACTCCGTTTCGAAATTACAGAAATACCATGCGAAATTATTCTTTTAAAATATTCAATTAATTTTCGTGTCCTACAAATGATTAACTGATAATTTAATGATCAGCAGTGATTGCGCTGCGTCGTGGCATTAATGATTAGTTAAATACTTAATCACTTATCGCATTTCAATGAATAACATATTGTCTGGAAATATGGATATTCAATTATACGGAATATTCGAACTGAAACATTTCTTAAAATTTCATCAAATGACGTCGATATAAAATGCAATAAAATTATCGCGATGTCCGTCAAATGTCAAATAAAATATCAATGCAATAGTAAAAATAACTTGGTAAATAGGTATATTTCAGAAGCTAACGAAACGGTATCGATCGATCGGTATAAAAGATGTGTTAAATATACACCGTTAAAAAGATCACGATTCGCTTCTCAGAAAATAAGACAGACCAATTTTCTTCTCCTTATCGACAAGCTGCTTGTTACTGGAAAATTGCATCGGAAGGACGCGTAACTACCCGGTGAAGTCGATAAACAGAAGAGAGATACGATCTTTCTCGAGTCGCTAAAGCGAGCTAGGTTCTTGCGGACTGTGGTGTCGTCTTTTTTGGTAGTACACTTTTAAAAGAGTTTTTAGACAAGAAGACTTTCATAGCTAACACCGGAAAAGTTGCTCGTAGCGAATTTTAGTGAATCCTACACCTTCTCGTTCACTTTGCAAGCTAGATTATTAAAATGTTTATTTTTTTTATTGCATCATGTGATTTAGGAATTGCTAAGCAAACAAAATTTTATATAGAATTTAATTAAATAAGTATTATTTAATTTTAGTAACGGTTAAAAAAACCGTTACTAAAGTAAAGTAGTTTTATTTTATTTAATGATTTTTATTTAACGATTATTATAATATTTTCGATACCTACATTGTTTATTCATTCACAAAATATTCATCTATAAAATAAACCTTCTTCTTAGGCATAATCATTCTCAAGCACATTTGAATAAAGTAAAATTTCGGACAGAGGATAGATACGATTGAAAGAACAAGCTGTCTAAATGTAATCATCACATTGTTCCAAAAAGATGTATAATAAAATAATTTGCTTTTAGACAAATGTTTAACATGCAAGTAGTGATAGTGTCCAAAGATCAATTTAAAATTCCACTATTAATTAACGTTAAATTAGTAGCCAACAAAAAGTACACGACAAAATATCGTCAGTGGTACGATTATTGCGATTCTCCCCTATGCCACACTGATCGGTACACAAGCTCTATCAAAGAAGCCCCAGGATTTTTAAACGGTTGACTTAAGCCCACGGCGTCTCACGCGCTCCTCGTACTTCGCACAACAGTTTTAAATGGTGACGAAAACGCGACTTTTAATTGCGCGCTTCGCGAAACGTATCGCCACGAGTGCAACATATTCCCCCTCGTACCGCGACTCCCTTAATGAGATGGCCAGGCTGAGCCGCCTCATCGGTGTTAAAAATGTTGCTCTCGCGCACAACACCGGGGAGAGATGGGCTTCCCAGACGGAGGGCCTTTCTCGTGTGCACGTATTCCGGTGTGCTAGGCTGTCGCGCACCCCCTGTATCTTACTGGCAAGGGTGATGCGGGGACTCTCGCTTCTTCCTTCTCTGTGCGGAAGTTGTGCTCGCGGGGGGTGCTTTTACTGCCTCGCAGATAGCACCAGTAAGTATGTACGTTCTTGGCGCTTGCGCACTTTTCGTTCTGTCTTTGTCGCGCGGCCGACGCTCGTTGCGCTAGCGCTTTCCTCGTCGCTCTTACCTGGCTGCACCACCGCGATGGAAAGAGAAAGAAAGGGTGAGCGCGCGCCAGCCTGTGAAAGCAGCACGAGAGCGAGTGAGAAAGCGTGACACGATAGACGACATTGGCGGGGAAGGGGGTGGCTCGCGAACGACAGAAAGAGAGAGAACGCGCGCGCAAGGTACGAGGGAGAACGAGTGAGAGAGCCGGAGCGTTGCGTGGGGAGCGATCGCAGCTCGTCATTCGAAGCCCGCCAACGGACGAGCGAGCAGCCACGGAACGGGACCGCGATCGAAAGAACCCCACACGATCTTCACGAAAATAAGAGTAAAGGCGCCACGCTTTATCTCTGAGATCAAAGCCGACGAAGGGTCGCGTGCCCTCGTGACAGAGCAACGCTCCGGAAACAGTAATCATCGACTGTTTCGCAATTGCAAATCAATCTTCGACATAACACTCGTTCTCTCGTTCAGTTCACTTGAACGAAGCGCTCGTCTCGCGTTCGGTTTACTTCGGTCACGATCGTGTCGACCGCAGTGCTTACCGGTGTCCGTCTCGCATGTTTTCATTTCGAATCGGAGTGGAAGTGTGACAGCAGAAAACAGTGGTTTAAAAGGCACAGAATCGTTGACAGTGATCGACGTGACTCGCGCAGATCGCTTCTGAAGGATATTCGTGATCTATATCGCATTTCTTTCGTTTGCATGCGAGCGGTTAAACAGACGAGGTCCAGAGAACCAGTGTAATTACACATACGAGAGTAACGTATCGTGAAAGTCGAAACATTACGCGAAATTCGCCGGCAATCGAGTTTGTGCTTCGATACAGTGCTCGTTCGAGAAATTCGTCGCGACTTCTTTTACCCGTGTCCGTTGTGTATTACAGTGTCGTTTTTGTCGTTTAACACGATTACATACTCTCTGAGAATCGACTGTCAGTCGAACATCGTTGGATCTACGAGCTCGTGTCCGAAAAGTGTTTAAAAGGAACAATCGAACAAATTAAAAGAGAATCAAACGAATAGTAATAAAATTGATAAACACCGACGAAAGACCATTCGGACGAAGGAAGGCACTGTTAATCGACAGGACAGTGACCGTTGCAACCTCGTGACGCTCGGTGCATGATCGAAAAATCGAGATCTCGTTTCGCGCGCAAACGGTGCATCGTAGCAGTGGTAACATTGGAGAACGGCTGGATTCTTACGAGTTCCTCTCGACTCAGTTCAAGGAAGACATCAAGATCCGCGCAATTGGTCCAATATCCAGAGGAATAACAGAATTCACTTCACTTCGAATTTCTTTCGAAGTATCTTCGATCGAGAATATCGACCACCACCAGTACGTGATTCCTGTGGAAGACGATCGGAGGAGACAACTAACGACTGGTTTGTCATTGGACTAACCTTCCCGTCGTCGTTTTTACGAAGGATATACAGGGAAGACTCGAAGGTATTCCAAGAATCGTTGGTGTCGCGATCTCAACATTCGATTAAACGGTGACGGCAGTGTCGCGAAACGGTACCACCTGTGTTTGGTGACTAAAATTCGACTCCCGTGATTTATCTGTTTTCGGCCAGTAATTCGACTCCGCGTTTCCTGACATTTTTGGTAACTCGTGTGTTTGTGCTCCACAGTGGTGGATGGATGATCCATCGTACAGCATCGCTTGAAAAAGTATATCCGTGTGTGCGAAAGGCTCTTCCAGTTGGATTACATCGAAGCGTCGACATCGTGTTTACTTCGTGGGAGTGGAAGGGTTGCAGCGACCTTGTGAATTCCGAATCCGACGTGTCGATCGAGACAACAGAGAGCGCGTGGCCAATTACTCGTGCGCCGTTACTCGAGCACCGATTAATCGATTAATTAACATCCGAATTAATTCGTCGAGTCCCTTGAATCGTCGATACTTACGCCGGGCTTGTGTTTCTGAATATTTCCGAGTCGATATTCGATCCGACAATTCGTAGTTTTATCGCTGCACGCCGGCAGTTTGATTTTACCGCGCGATTAATTACATTCATTTGGTCGCGGACCGAAGAATATCGCGGCGCGTTGAGATCGGTTTCCATTATCGGTGCGAACAACACCGGTTTCTCGAGCTCGATTCTCGGCGTGCACGCACCAGCCTCCTCGTAGATCCTTTGTCCGATTTAGCCAGGATTACGCGCTAGTTCGCGGAAGCAGTAGCTCTGTAATTGCGCCACGCGCACGCTGAACGATTGTCTGCGCGACGAAACAACAAACGGTCGTGTTTACGTGACGAAAGTGCAGACGCAGCCCTACTCGGTCATTTGCAAAAAGTGAGTAGCCCCTGTCTGTCATGTTTACTATTACCTGTGCGTGGATGTGCGCGCGCTCGCCCGCGCGTGTAGGCACGTATGACAGCCGCGACTCCGCTTACACGTGGCTTTCGTGCGTGTGTGCACCGGTGTTGTACGCGCGATGCCTTGCCGGCATTCATTCAAAACAAAACAACCGTGCTCGTCCATTACGGTCATGCACGGCCGTATATACAGGCTAAAGCAAAACTATAGGACACTTGGATTAATTACTGTATTAACCATAATTGGCAGTAATAATTTCACCAATTTTTCATCCGATGATTCTTTAGTTTTTTCTCGTTTCTTCTAGTATTACTTTTACATGACTCCTATAGGCGATTGAATTTATTTCATTTATACGAATTGTGTATTATTTTGAAGGTTTCGAAATGCTTTTTCATATAGTGATTCGTACGTTTCTTCAAAATAAAAACAACAAATAGCTATTATTGTCCGAAGTAAACATTGTTATATTTAAAAATACTATTGTGTTGTATTATGAGATTTTCATTTTTTTCGCGTGGCTCCAATCTCTGATTCTTTTATGTTATTTTCCTAAATTTGTGTCAACAATTTAAATACCGACAGTCTTAGAAACGGTCTGCAACTTAGAAAAGGATTTTCTACATTAGTGTATTAATATAGGCTGACATTAATTTCTACATAATGTTACTAGGTATATCAAAAGCCTTCTCTGTTTCCTCGAATGAAGCATTGAAAGTATTACAGGTTCCTTTAGGTACAGTGGGTGTAGAATGTATTCGTACACCGATCAATTTCCCAGAAAACTTTTGTGTGAAATTGTACTTTCATAACTTCTTTTTTTATAATCAATGTTATTTTACATATTCTTGGAAATCTCTAAGATAGATATAGTCCAAACAACGTTTCCTAGTTAATATAATTTGTGAAATGAACAAAAGAATGCGAAAAGTGGGTAAAAGTACAGAAGCAATAATTATTTGTACAATTCTTATGACGAACCATTTACAGTAGTGTTTGTAACGTAAACACATTAGTTTATTGCTCCGTACGAATTAGAAAACATCAAATTTCCAGTAAAGCACTTTAAAAAAAGGTTCTAATAAAGGAATGGAAAAAGATCCCACTTCGAATAACTAATAATTTAGTTAATTTAATGCTTAGAAAAGTTACAATAAGGATAAAATCAAAAGGAAATCTCACGAATGAAGTATTATATACTTGTAAATTAATGTAAACTTCTTCTTTTTTTTTTAATGAAGTTTTACAAATTAAACTGTTGTGCGAATACTTATTGCTTCAACATTTCCATCGATTAATTGTTTTTCTCTTGTTAATTTCGCAACTTACATAAATAGCTATTTTTTTTATACTCTATCTATTCTAGACATTTCCGAGAATATGTAGAATGTCATTGTTTATAAAAAATAAGTTAATAAATTACAATTTTACATAGTTTTTTTTGGAAATTGATCGGTGTACGAATACTTTCTACACCCACTGTATATACTGGAAATAAAAAGCCTATATATAAGGTCCTGGTAGATAAAGTGTTAAGACTATGTCTTTTTTTGCTCGAATAGTGTCTTTACCAGACATTAGTACAACATCGAAGAAACGTCCCTTGTTGAGTCCGTTGACCTTTCGAACACGTGTCGCTTGAGTCGCTTCGCAACCAAATTCGTATAATACGCGATCATGTAGATGCACACGTGACTTATTGTAGCAGTTTGATGGAAACACAAGTTTAAGTCACTATTAATTTGCATTTTTATGGAGTAAGTATAAAAAGCATTTAAATAAAGTTTAGTCCATTCTGGTGTAAAAATGCTGTATTTTGAAACTGAACGATTAATGACATCGACTACAGAATATTATACAGAATTTAAATATTCGATTTAACTACAATTAGTTAAGAAAATTTAGTTAGTGTTTATAGTTTCTTTTGCTTGGATCATGTTTTAAGTAATGTGTAGTATACTCGGTACATAAAATGTATACTTTATTCCCTCAATTTGAATAAACATGCAAATGGATAAAGTGTCTTATCATTTTGTCCTGCACTGTACATGATGCATGTACATATTTATATATTATACACGCGTATGTTTTGCAAGTTAACCGTCCTCGCAATAATACTGTTTTTGTCTGTTATAATTAATATTTCGTGGCGGAAATGACTAATTAGACGGTAACGAGGGACCGAGTTTCGAAGCAGCGGGTTTGATTTTCGCGTTAAAAGGTAATATTGTATATTCGTGAATTCTACGAGGTGTTGCATATATTTTCCATTCCAATTTATCATGAAAAGTTTGTACGATTGTGAGTGGTTCCTCGTGGCCATGTGTTTGCGACCATTTTTGAATAATAAAGTTTTTAAGCAAAACATTACCGAAATTATTAATTTAAAGGCAAATTGCAATATGTAAAAAATGCAACAACGAATTATAATCGAACTCTTTTATAACGAGCACCAAGGGACCGTCAAAATTTCCTTGTTTGTAAACATAACTCGTTACATCGATAATGAGTTATATCCACTTTTCACTGTTTTTAATTTTGAAGCATTTAATAAAAAGGTAAATTTGGAGATCAAATAAAACATTAATGAGAAAAAGTAACGTATGTACATACACACGTGTATGTGATTTCCCTTCATATGCTTGTATAGACTACAGTCACGTAATAATGAATACAATTTATTTGCCTTTAAATTATGAACCGTACATTCGATAAAGCCAATGTATTTGGTTGGAATTAAAGACAGTATTAATTAATAATAAATTCGATATATCTGTGCACGTTGTAACGAAGTTTGAATGTATGCAAGAAGTAAACAGTCTGTTACACTCATTTACACGAATTAATATTTTATTACATAATTCCCATTTATACCATTATATGCTATTTTATGGCATTAAAAAGGTGTTACAATTTCGTGTACCATAAGTTACAATAGCAATAATCTATTACTGTATTGGAAAAATTATTTTCCATTAGAATTCATTAATTATTTATATATACCCTTTTTCGTTTTACCCTAACATGAGTGGTGTTTCAGTAAAAACAGTTATCTGCAATGACGAGGAACGTTGATTTATATCATTTCCCTTTGTACATAGATAATGAATGAACTGAAGCTCTCAAAGACTGTGACTTTATGCCATAACAGGAAATCGAGCATGTTTTTTTCCGTTTACCATTAATACCGTATAAATTTTAGAGGTGAATTTTATGAGAGAGAGCTCGTGCCGTACGACTTAATTAATACCTGGAACAGCTAATTATGGGTAGAAATTTTTACGAAAACAAAATATGTTGTCCCGTGAGTGTCATTAATCGTTGGAAAGACAATAATTTTCTCAAATCGTACGACAATATCTTGAAACGAAATCGCTAGAATGAAAAGATTTTTTAGTCGAATACTGTTTACTGAGAATCCTAAAATACATAAAGTTTTCCATTTAATTACAACAAAGAAAAGAATGTGTATATGTAACACTTCTAACCATTAATTAATCGCAAACTTCTCGATAATGTTTTATTTTTAACAAATAATTTTATCCGCGTTATTTCCACCAATTATATCTTCAAAGTTCCTAATTTTGTTTTAATTTCCAAGAACTATTTCTTCCGAAATGGACTAGCAACACGTGGTCGAAAAGTTGAATGAAATATACTTGTATCGTTCGATTATCAAACAGAATCTTGTTTATACCGTTTATCAAGATCGCGATCATCTTCAAAATCGATCATAGACTTCTCCCGCAATATATCGGATCGCGAAATGACGAGGAAAATCTGGATGTTACCCCGTGACTACAACGTATCTCGAGGAAATCAGACTTTGACGCGGTAAATCCGAGAAAAAGACAAAGTGTAAAAACGGCGGAGACCGAGGGGAATGATGAAACAGAGAATAAAGACGGAAATGGAGAACTGGAGAAAGAACCTGTACCTAAGGCTGAGCTTGTCCCGCTGACAGAATAGCGAGCTATCCGACAGCTCGGTAGGTCTTTAATGGTCTTCTTCTCGACTGGATGTACACTGTTTTATGCTTTATTCCAAGCTTCTTCCTCTCGCTCTCCTGGACCGAATCGTGCCACACATTTCACTCTCGTTCTCTTCCGACTCACGTCGTAAACGTGTCTTTCGTGCAAAAACGCGATAAAGTTCCACCTTTCCTTCGAGATCGAGCGGAGCGACGGCCCTGAAAGCAGGTGACTCTGTTCCAAACAAGATTCACTCGATGGGGGGTCTTTTGCAATGAAGAACGAACGTTGATCTGGTATCTCGCGGAGAAGATCAGAGCTGAAGGTAGACGCGATTGCGCAAATTCAATTCGGAAATTCGTGTGAGCGCGTAGCTACTTTCGTACGAACGATGGAAATAAATGGTCCACTATCTGAAGAATAATATATTTTAGATGTCGTTGGATATCTTTTGCGACTGCGCTTCATCGTAAAGATATTTTAATTAGACTGTTCAAGGTACACGATAGGCATACGATGTAACTTGTCGGCAGATTAAAAGTATAATTGATAATTTCAGGTTTCGTTCCCTGTTTTGAGACCAGTTTAGGATTTTATTTCAGCTTCGAGTACCACTTGCACCAGTGGAAAAATACATTTTAAAATTGCTGCCGTCAGAGTACTGTAATCTTTTCATCATGCAAAATCATAAGCAAATCTTTTTGTATTGATGCAATGTAACAAAGTATTAGGTATTTGATCAAATAAACGAATTTTAATTAGTGTCACGTCATAGCTCAAATTAAATCATAAATTCAAGTGGGCAATCATGTATGGACATTAATGTTATTTTTGCTATACAAGCAGACAGAGATCAATATAGATTTTTATCAAGTCTTGTAAGAAAAATGGTAAACCTGAAGTAATGAATCAAGTAAAGGCTACACAATACGATGTTTTATTTTGTCATTTCAAATCAAATACATTTGGCTTCGATAAGTGAAAGGTAAGTGAATTAATCAACTCAAAGAAAGTACTGTTGGTAACTCCATCTGAAGAGGTTCCAAAACATGAGACGGCACGACAAATTATCAGTGTAATTTTAATCTACTGATAATTTACACCAATCGTATGTTTCAAAAAGTCTAATAAACATATATTCCTTTGAAAACGATACAGAGCAGAGCATTAAACTCTTATTATATAGTCTTGTTACTTGTTCAAAATCATCGTAACGTGTTAAAATAAGATTAAGAAATGAATTCAAGAATACACGCTATTCGAGAGCTGTAGAGAAACATAGTACGAGTATAATAGACAGGTGGATAGGGGCTAAATTGAGCGCGGTTAATGTGAAAAAAAGGCAAGAATTGCGGGGACAGTTGGCTGCCTTACCGCGAGCTGTCGTGGTTAGACTAGACGTGACTGCAATAACTGCGTCCCGACACTCAGCACCCTCTATCTTTTCGTTTTTATCCTTTCTCTCCTTGTCCACCACGCGAGTTTATCCTTATCCAAGCCTTCACTTACATGAAACATTGGCGGATCGTTAGAAACGTTTTCTACCTCTGTATTCCCTTCTAATCTTTTCAACCATCTTGGAATAATTGATGTCACTTCCTCGTCATTTTACTCTTTACCCTCGATGTTTAATTTTATTTCACCATTCATTGACCCTTCCACATAATAAGTCGATAAAATCTTCTCTAGTGACTATTAACGGAAAGCACTCGAACCGGTTTTCAGCATCGAGTACATAACCAATAGCACTAGCCATCCACGTTTTCGTACCGGAGAAGTCTCGCAGTCGGGGAAAATTATCAGGGTGGCGGAGATGAAGTTTTTGTTCGCGCCTAGGCTGCAAAATACGTCGTTAAGATTCTGCGAGGGTAAACAAGACTGTACCGTGGTACAAATTAAGTTCAGGTTTCTTCGTTACGATTGTACGAGTCGGGCGGCTTTTACTTTCCTTTTATTGTCTACGGCGAAACCTTCTACGCCCCCGTGGATACTTAAGGTATAGAAGTCTTCCTTGAATCGTTAATTAGCTCGAATTCTTGGATTCTAATTACACGTGCAGTTTACGGCTTTATTTAAGCGAAGTAATTTCCTCGGTCTCATACTATCGGAGATCTCAGCACAGGTTAAAATACATGTATCGACCGCTCCTCGAATTAACATGTTTAGTTAATATTAAACCCATTAACTCTTTATACGCGAATGTCTTAATTATGTTTCTTGCAATCCAGGTGACCGAAACGACCCAGTTTTTCCGTTGGAAGTGGTACACATACGGCTTCAAGATTCAGCTGGACATCATGCCCTGGTTCATCCTATTTCTTCTTCTGTTAGCCGTGATGGAGGCTTTCCCTCGGGAGGCCACCTGTTCCCGCCTGCCGGACATCTATTGGAATTCCACCAATCCAATGTAAGTCGCGAGCAAAGCTCACTCTTATCTTATTCGTCGTACCTTTTCAAAGTAATTACCCGTTACCGCGTCCAGCTCCCAGCTGATTTATACACGGGAAGCAGACATATTTGAAACGTTGCAAAGTAAACCAGTTTACGATTCACTTTACCAGAGACGCTCGGTGGGCAATGTTTATTTGTTCCCGCGTAATACCATCTTTGTCCCACCGTTGAAACGAGGGAATAACCATTTTTAAATATTTACACGAGTGCTTCAGATTGTGATATCGTGCGCGACAAGAAACGAAGGTTACCTAATTTCAGACGAAGGTAAGCATTTAACGGCAAAGCTTGCACTCCAATGGAATTAAAAGTACCTACCAAGATCTTTTACATTTTGCGTGTTTCGTAGTCGAATCGAGCATTTTATTTTGTTTATATTATGTTTTCGATTCTTTAGTTTGAAGGGAAGTGGATTCTTTCGGTTATATGGTATGGAAAGCAATTTTAATTATTATGATAGAGATGTAACGAAACGATTGCAAAAAGTATACATTCATGCAGAATTAAGCATTAATGTAATTAGATTATTTTATCTAATATACTATATCATATGTTTTTTTACGTGCAGTTTCAATGCTATCATATACTATAAATGCATGAAATTTAGAGTCTGTAAAAACAATAAAAACAAGTGATTCGTCCACACGAAAAGCCACATGCGTTACATATTTCTGGTGTCTTTGTAACAATAGAAATAGAAGCTTTTTATCGACTTGTGCTACTGTAATATGTAGTCTTGATTCCTTTTTTCTGATTGTTGACAACATAATGTCAATTTTCGTATCCAAATCTTCATATCCAAACGTAGATTTCACGGTTTTAAAACACCGGAGTGCACAACCAGTGGTGTTCCTCCAGCCTCCCTCCTAGTCACTAAAGACATCGTATATACATGAAAAGAATGCAAGCTCCGTTTAATCTCATCCGAGATATTACCGTGAATGTCCTTGTTCCAAATATGTAGAAGACGACCGCATTTCCACGTTGAAGCATTCCGCGAATGGTAACGCGTTTTACTGCAGAAAGATCGAGTTTCGTGGCATTGCAGGTATTACAGGACCATTATGCTATAACGATTTCTTGATTTTATCGTCGTTTATCCAACTATAATTACGTTTTCCATTGAGAAATATTTTTTGGCCTCTTCTTATTTCCGAGTTGCTTGTTGTGTACAACAGTTGTCATTTGTGGCAATTGTTTCTATGTTGTTTCCTTAAATACAGTTGAAAACTGTGGTAAATGGGATTGAGACGTATTTAAATACTATTGATTCATTGACATCAGATTATTATTATTACGAATTGTCTAAGATAGACATTCCTTACTCTCACATCCCTTATGTGTCTTCTAGCGGACCTAGGACGAAATACCACAATTTACATTTCTCTCAACGCTGATAAACTTCACTTATTTAATTCTTTCTCACAATAAAAGAACATACATCATTTATATACAGTTCGTTTATAGATGGTAAGGATCAGAGATTGTACTGAAGTTTTCCCTGAAAGCATCAGAGAAAATACTTCACTGATCTTTGTTTTGGCTAAAATCGCGTGAAACAAATTAATGAAATAATGTTTAATGTTTGCCATTAAAAGTATGCAGATTATTTAAACGAAAAAATATTAAATGTTTAATAACTATATCGTTAAAATAAAATAAACATCGATGACTGGGATAATGGCAAAATTAGGTTCACTTACCGTATGGCATTTTGCTCTAGGTTCACCAAAGAGCGTTAGTGATCAGTAAAGGACGTCTCTAGCAGATTCAGCTATACATTTTAGATACATTTACTTATATTAGAAACACTTCACTTATTATTTTATGAACGACAACGCAATAAAATTGCAAGGAAATAATGGATTTGCGATAAAAGATTATTTAAGACGTGAAATCAGTATAGCTATTCTTAATTAATTGGTGCACAATGATAACTAGACTGCGGAAGTTTATGCATGATAAATATGTAACATGCATATGCAAAATATGCATGAAAAATGTTCAAAATATGCACGAAAAATATGCAAAATATGCATGAATAATTTGAATAAAACGTAGTATAATAAATAATATATTAGTATGTTACAGAATATTCGCTATGTACACGTATATAAAATACTTTTCATAATTATTCTGGTATATCATAATTCGCATGACAATAAATTACCAGCATTTTTTCCAAAATTAATTGTGTTAGTGCCGGTATTTATGTATTAGTCTAAATGCAATTTCCTTTTATACTTCACATTTTTATTGCAAATTTTGCAATAAATACTTCTGCTCATCGTTATCATCATTGTCGTTGTCATTAATAACAAAATTGGAATCGTCTCTGATCCAACTTAGCATTAATGCTTTTCTACTTTTTCTAACTTTTGGCACTTTTAGAGAATTAAGTGACACTTAAATATGTTCACTTCTTCACAGAGATCACATTAACAGCGAGAATTGAACTAAAGTATTCGAAGTCGAAATACAAACTGTCATACCTAACGGTCGATTAGCAACACAAGGTTACAGAAATATGGTTTCATATGGCCTGTATTTGTGTAAACACTACACAATTCTGATACGAAAGTATGGTGATAGACGAAACTAATTTGTCCAGATAGATATTTCACATAAGAACGATAAATAACATATGCAATATATTATTGCATATGTTTTTAAACATAAATATGAAAAATATGCAAAAGAAAAAATGTATTTTTATAGTACTCTAATTTCAAAACAAATTTCCGTCTAGGTCCCATTCTTTTAACTATTTCCTATAAAAATATGCATTTGCATAAACTTCCGCAGTCTAATGATAACAGTGCCCTAACGTGGTCCGGTTAAGTCTAGTCTGTACATGCTTCCTTCAGGTACCATATAACAGGCAACGGGATTTTCGGTGGTCGATTTCTTGACCTTTCCCTCGCTTTTTATTTCCTTTCTTGCAGCCATTTCGTCAGCAACGCGGTTAGTGGCGCGTCTCGATTGGAGTCGTGACATATCGCTGCGATATTTCTTCCCCTCGTACCAACGATACACGCGTGACGAAGCCGCCGTACGTGTGGATTTTTACTCTTTCCGTTCGATCGGTTTTCTTCAGTGTGGCGAGGCAACGCCAAGGCAAAAAAGGACGGAATTGAAAGCCCAATGAAAAAGGTCCGGCGTGTTCACGCCCCTACCGGCTTCAGGATGTACGTGCGTGGCCGCGGGCGCCTCGTGGAGGTCGGGCATTATAAATATAACGGGTGAGCCGAGTCGAAGTTCCAAAATCGATTTATCCAGTCGCGTTTTGAGCGAGGGTCAAGTGCGCCGTTAGCGCAACCGCGAGCGCACGTGTGCAGCTGCGTCCATGAAGGCTCTTCTCACTTTGGGGGTTTCAAAAAATCAGAGTTTTTGTTTCGAGTCTTCTGAAATCAGGGAGCGTATAAAACACAGCTAAGTCATGTTGAGATATTCATAAGATTCACAAAGTTATAAGACACTTTGAACGAGACGGTGCACGGGCTAAAGTCGAAAGTTGGATGGGTATATTTCAGTTTTGTGGTTTCATCTACCTCATTTTTTGATACTATGGAAGGAAATATCTTTTTGTGGATGCTGGCGACAATTAAAATGAAAAAGTTGGGGAAGTACAATGGTACTTTTTCACGTTCAGAAAAGTTAGGAAATGAGCGTAAAACTGAAACTTTGCATTCATGCGGCGCCATTTCGTCATTTTTGTTCTTTTGTCACGAAACTAGATTCAGTAGTCTAGCAATTTCATACAGGATGTAATTTAACTTAAATTGATGTTTTTAAGGTATTTCTTTACATACGCAGGTTATTTTCAGGTCCTTTGTCCGCAACATGTAACATCTATGTGTTTTTATTTTTAAAATAAAACTTTTTATAGCTCGTTATTTCACCCTCACGTAATGTCACTTCATGAAACAAAATTTCGATAAAATCACTCCACGAAAGTTACGCCTAATTAAGGGAGGAAACAAGATTTCTAAATTTCGAATTCAAAGTTAGAATCAACGATCCCAAAACCCCCTGTACATCAAGTTTTATAAAAATCAGTCGAAAGGAATTCTTTAAATATTCAAGTCAAACTATGTAAAGATTGTTGTCAACTTCTTCCAAGAAATACTGCGTTAGACACTGTACTTATTGCATTTCCAGAAATTTATGTAGGTCACAATTACTATCGTCATTTCTTTATCTTCATGATATTCTGAAAGATATCCACTAATGCTCATATTTTAATTTCGCACTAGTAATAAAGTAATAATAACCATTGATTATAGGTAGAATCAATCATCTATAAGTAATCCCAGTACATGGATTAGAACAGTGTATTAAAAATAGTCTAAATGGTATATTAATCTTGACGCTGAGTTCTTCGTTGGTTAAGCAAATGTCTCATTAATTAATTATTCCGAGATTCAATTTTGCAAAGTTCATCCAGTTTATATAATTAATCATTTACACATTCACAGACAAAATTAAACTGACTCCCATCGAGTTAGCAAACGTTATATTATTAATGAGTGGTCGAAGGCTCCAAGCACGTGGCTCCATGTACATGGTGTTTATTTTTTGTTGCTATACCTACAGCAGTCGACGTTAAAGCACATTTTCCTCCGCGCTTTTCGCACGAAAGCATACACACGCCACTGTACTGCGACTTCCCTGGCTGTAAATATGGAGAAACTTTGTTCCATCATCAACAAGACCATGCACTAAATTTAAGGTTTTTGGAATTGTTGGAAAGTCTTTGTATTTATAAACAAACACTAAGAGATTAATAATAAATCTGAACAAGAAATAATTATTTATATTTGTTGAAGATGGACACAAAAATGAAACGGTAACTAGTGAAATAAAAAAGAAACAATCTAGAGCTATCTATTCTCGCACGTTCGCACAGACCAGATATCTTTGACTGACTAACTATACCACGTCTTTCTCGTTACC